TAAAAAACATACATATATCTATTAAAAAAATAAAAAGAAGCAGTAAAAATTTAAATACAATTGAAAAGATTGGAGTTGCTTACTGACAAAATTAGTAATCTATGACTGCCCTCTGTCTGTCGTACTCTTTTGGAAAACTGTATTACGGTAAATCCGTACAAAACAACTGTTTTTTTTTGCGGGTGGGGGGAGGGGGATAGGTGAGCGGGGAGGAAAGCGACGAAGGGCGACGAAATAAGACAAGAAAAAAAGATAATGATAAAATTAGTATAGGAAGAAAAACAACAAAACTGTTACAATTTACCTGAATTATTGCTGACTTATGTTGATTGCAGAACTACACAAAATTCGATACATACGTTGAATTCTGTTTCAACTGTACTCTTCATTTTTGGTTTTTCAATGTTTTAATTTTACTTCTAATTCTTCCTCTTTTTTTTTTCTTCTCTTTTCTTGATTTTTAAAACAGCTATGAAATGGCAACAAAAATAACAACTGCAATAGCAACGAAAATACCGTCGGCACCTCCTCAACAACCAATTCGGTGACAGCGGAGGCAACAGCAACGGCAACAGAAGGCAACAGGTTTCTTATTGCTTTTGCGCCATCATCTTCGAGTTTGCAGTCAGTCATCGACCAAACAAATAAATAAATAAGCAAGAAAAAAAAAACTTGCTGAACAGCTTCCGTAAACTGCATTTTCATACCGTTGACGTCGTAGTTGTAGTTGCCGTCGTCGCTGCAGCCGTCGCGGTTGCGGTAGTCGCCAACAACTTTATGGCTAACCATTAACAGAATCTATCGCTGCGCTGTCACGTAACAGAATTGTTGTTTCTAACAGAAGTTTTTTGCAGAACGTAACGGAGGAGCAAAAGCGACAAAAAATCCATCTTTTTTCTTTTCAAAGAACCAACCTTTTCATGGCCCAGTAGTAAATGAAATTAAAATTCAACTGTATTTTCCAATGGAAATAAAAAACTTTTGAAACAAATTTTCTTCAATTTTTTCTTCTGTAACGTTTTTTTATTTCATTTTATTTTTGTTTTTGTTATGCGTCTCTATTTGTTTGCTTGTCGATTTAACTACCTTTTTTCTTCTTTTTTTTTTTCGGACAGATGGGAACGGGGAAGAGAAGGGTGTTAGATACTGCCGCTGTTGCTGGTTAGTGCCGTTGGTTGCTGTTGGAAGTCGGGAGTCCTCTTGATTTGTATACAACAGATTCGTTTGAAACTTAATTTCAATGCTTTCAACTAAACTATTTTGTTAGTGGAACAGAAAACATTTCCCTATATTTTTTTCTTCCAACAACTACTAAAAATCTTAGTTTTATTTTTTATACAAACACAAAAACCAACAAATCTGACGCTCTTTTTTTTGGAATTTTTAAACTGAAACAAATGAACTTTCATCTGCGGGAAAAAACATATATTTCATATTTTCTGTATGCTGAAAAGTTAAGACTTTCTAAGTTTTTTAGTGAGAAGAAAAAAATAAACTGGCAAGAAACAGTAACCGAAAAGAAAAACTGTGAACGTTACAAGGTAGAAAAGCGCCAGATTATTGAACGAAAGAGTGAAAAAAATGAAGAAATGGTGTTTAAAATGACTGCATGAACTGAAGAACGGAAAAATGAATGAATAAAAAGGACGAACGAACGAACGAACGGACGAACGAATGACTGAATGAATGAATAAATGAATGAATAAACAAACAAATAAATAGATAGATAAAGGAATAAAGAAATGAATGACAGGATGGATGAGTGAATGAATGACTGAATAAATGAGTGAATGAATGAATGAATGAATGAACAAATGAATGAATGAATGAATGAATAAATGAATGAAAGAGTGAATAAATGAATGAATGAGCGAATGGATAAATGAGTAAATGAATGAACAAATGAATAAATAAACGAATGAATGAATGAACGAATGGTTGAAAAGATGAATGAATGAATAAATGAATAAATGAATGAATGAATGAATGAGTGAATGAATGAATGAATGAATGGTTGAATGAATGAATGAATGAATGAATAAATGAATGAATGAATGGATGAATGAATGGATAGATGAATGAATGAATGAATGAGTGAATGAATGAATGAATGA